ATTTCTTTATACTGTTTCTATCTTTGCTTTTGCTTAGGCCAAAAATCCTGGAATCCCCTGCCATCAGCCCAGAATGTTATATTCATCAGCAAATCATACCATATTGTCAGCAAATCATATCGATTTTACCCTTAAAATAGACCAAAAATTGAGTCATTTCTTACTACTTCTTTGTCCACTGTGGTCCAGCCTATCTCATCTCTTGCTTGCTGTATCCTTTGGCTCTTTGAGATTATTCTCATCTCAGCAGCCAGAGTGGTTAATTAAAATACTAAGTCAAAGCAAAGCCAAAGTTTTTAAGGCCCTACAGGATTTAGCCCCAGTTAACCATTGTTTCTGTTTCGCGCTCTGCCCACCGTGTCCTCCATACTATTCGTAGAACACTCCACGAACAGGTTCATCTTCAGACCTTTTACTCACTACCTCATTTGCCCATGAAAAGCATTTTTACCCCAGATACTCTCATAGTTTCCTATTTACTTCTTTGTGGGTTTAATTCGAGCATCAATTTTCAGTGAGTATTTTGTCACCCTATTTAAAATAACTGTCCTTTTCCTGGTACACTGTCTTCCTGCCTAGCTTTCTTTTTGCTCTCTCTGTTACTTATCTTTCTCTCATTGCTGAGACAAAATACCCAACACCCCAAGTTAAAGGAGAAAAAGTTATGTAGCCCAGAGTTTGTGGAGGTTTCAGTCTGTAATCAACTGGCTCCAAGGCAGGGTGGTGTGGCAGAGAGGCAATAATTCATGGCACCAGCAAGATACAAAAGGAATAAGAGCAAAAAGTGGAGGAACGAGCCTCTTTTCCTCCCTTACATTGCATGCAGGCTACCTACCCTTGGGTGAGTGTAGCACTCACACCTCCAGTCCCAGCACTAGCCAATGAACCTATCACAAATTCTAGATTCATCCGCCTCCAAAAAGCCCACCCCACCCCCATGACCACATGAGACTTTGGGGGACATCCAGACACAAACCATAATACTTCCATGCTTTTCAGCATCTAAAAGTACTGCATATTTTATTTTTTGTGTATATCGTCTATTCTTCCCTCATTGCCTCAGCACCTCTCCTGCCCAAATGTAAACTCCACAAGGGCAAGGATTTTTGTATTTCTTCAGTGCTGAATTCCTGGCACTAGAACAGTAGTGTCTGGCTCAGATGAGATTCTTAATCAATCTGGGAGGGAGGGACAGATAGGGATGGATGGGTGGATGGATGCGTAGTGAGATAGAGGGATGGATGGATAGAAGTTGAAGGTCAGATTTGAAGGTAGAGAGAACTATTTGCATTTGAATATATTTTTGTGTATGAACATTCCCTAGTGGAGATGTTGAAAGATGAAATGTCATAGTTATTTAGAGCATAACAACATAATGTAAACTCTGGGATTTTGTTTGCATTAGTTTCTGAAAGGTGGGGAATTAATATAATCAGAATATGTCAGTAGCATTGTTGAACATCCTAAAGCCTTCATGTAGCAGAGCCTTTTTATATTTCTGGCCCGACAGTAGAATATTTTTATTTCTAGTCATGTAACATTACACATTTACATTTTGTATGGATATTTTATTTGCAATATATCCAGGTTTGAGTGATGAATTACAGAAAGTCTCCTGGTGGCACATAGGGATCATTCCTTGGTAGTTTGGTCCAGGCCTGTGAGACGATTGTCTGTTTAGAGCAGCTTTGAGGAGACAATCGTCTACCTCACTCCATGATTGTCCTTTGAGGTCTGTCCCAAAGTAAGTTTCATCTGACAACTTTTATGTATATTGTTATAAATGGAACAAATTGAGCATCTTAAATAAAGTCTATTCTTTTAATTATTGATGTCCCTAATTTGCTGTGGAAGCTGCAGCATTTACATTTCTTAAATTTTGCCCCTAGTTAAGATAATGAAGCCTGACAACTTTAATCATTAGGGATACCACCACCATAAAACTCAGCCTGACTGTGGTTTAGTTCCACTCCATTTATTTTATTGTGTAGGGCTGATCACAATAGCAATGTCTTGCTGATTCCTTTGCATTTATTGGTGTAAATAGGCCTGAAAAGTTTCTTGTTCTGTAGCTTTAGATATTTTTTCTGAAAAGATGGACTCTGGAGCAAGATATATACACTGTCAAAAATCATATATTTATGCTTCTGACAATTACCTGTACTTGCCTTTGAAGAAACAAACAACCACCTTAGTCCTTAAGATGGAGCAGCACCTCCTAAAGAGCTCCTTATTTGAGGACTCAGAGAAAATTATTTTTGTTTTGTAACATTGTAATATATTGATACCTCAGTTGTCGGACTTTATTCATTCCAAATTTATGTTCAGACACCAAAAAGTTTGAGAACTGAACATATTTTTCCCATAAGAAATAATGGAAAACCAAATAATTGGTTCTGAAGCCCCCAAATTACTTAGAAGTTCATTCTTCCAGGACTTCAACAAATTTTGCGGTAATTTCTTTCTTTATTCTAGTTCTCATAGTTTTTCTCTTATCTTTACTGCTGGTATCACTAACTTTCTTTGGAGCCACGGTTACAGAATTTTGCACAAAATCAGTGCAAAATAAGCTCAGTGACGAATGTTTTAACACACACAAGCACGTATGTTGCCTGGGTGAGAGCAGTGCTCAGACTAAAGTGTCACCCCTTTGTGTCCACAGGGAGACGTGGCATGTGACTCACTCTCATGACTCATTGTACCATACAGGTTTTTTCAAGTTGGATTTTTGTTTTGATTGTGAGCAGAGGTACAAACACCGAGCAGATTTTTTTTCGATCTTTGCTCTTTGAGTAGTAGAAAGTTAGAGCTAGCTGTTCAACAATGGAGGTCACTGTATCTTATATTGCAGTGCCATAATGAAAATATAAGTGTTCAGTTATGTATATTGCACTACTTTCTGGTGCACATACACTTGTCTGTGAAAATAGACATTTTTAGGTTAAGATACACATTTAAAATGTCTTGTACAGTGGTGAAAAAATCAGAAAAGAGATGTACAAATGCCTTTTAACAGGCTCTGGATTTAGATCATTTTTATAATAAACATAAGAATGGATAGCAGTAAAGAAAAATGTTCAGTTTTAGGTCAAAATAAAAGGTGTGTGTGCTCAAAGCACTTTTCTAGAATGGTGGAGTTTGGGCTCCATAGGAAACTTTGGAGTTTCTCTAGTTTGACCCACTCCTTACAGGTAAAGATGTGAAAGGGCTAAATAGAGTGATATCCTGTGGTCTAGGGATTAGTCGAAGAGCTAGGAGTTGCATTCCAGGTCCTGATTATCCATCTAGTGGAAGGACATGGCCTGCCTAGAAATCCTGCCACCATCCTTCTATCACCATTAATTTATTGACAAATTAATATTACAAAACCTTGCAGTTTATTGAAGGTTTTTCTGGCAGTGTGACTTTTTAGATTTCACAGTAATCCTGTGTCCTAAGCAAGCTGCCATTTCTGCTTTCATAGGGGAATTGAGATTTACAGGTGTTTAAGTGATACACCACACATGTCACAATGTTGTGAACAAGTGCAACAGCTACATGTTGAACCCAGGTCTCTAACTGAATCCGTGCTCCTTTAATGACCTTTACTCCTTTGGATAATTGTGACTTATAGGAATTAAAGAAAAGACCTTCAAAATAAGAATTTACCTGGCACTGGAGAACAAATGTTTTGTAGGATTTACAGTGCAAGGAGTTAAATGTTAGAAATATTTCATGTTAGAAGAAAATAGATTATTTAATTAAAATTCAAACCCTTGCCTTTGAATGTAATATATAAGGAAACATTCAAATGACCTATATATCTATCAAATAAATTTAATACAGTGATTAAACCAAACCAACAAACAGTATAGTTCCCTTTACCTTCCACCTCTCAATTTTTTGTGGTAATTGGGATTGAACCCAGGCCTTCAAACTGAGCTACATCCTGAGCAATTTTTTATTTATTTTTTACTTTCAGCTTGTTTCTTAACAGGTTGCCCAGGTTCGGCTTAAACTTTTGATCCTCCTGCCTCAGCCTGCAAGTATGGGGATTACAGGCATAGACCAGCACACCCAGCTCACCTCTTGTCTTTTCCATATCATGTGGCACTGCCCCACTTAGCTGGCAGGGAGGTGTGCCCTGGGGAAGGGCAGGTGCTGTAGGTGCAGTGGAGTCTGCCTTTCCTGGAGTGAGGCTCTTACCACAGAAGTTTTTTCTGAGTGGCAGAAATATAGTTACGTATGCAGCTGTATAGAAAAGCTCTGCATGCCATTTGTATATTTCTTTGTGGAAATAGTTATGTGTAAATTCTGTGTTGATATTTCTAAATTCTTTACTAGCCCAATTTGACCTTTTTTATAGTGTTTTTAAGAGATTATTAAATTTCTCAAAAGAACTATGTTAGAACTACAAGGCAAGTATAATGTTACCAGTAAATTTTATGTATAAAAATAAATAATCATAGCCATTCTGGAATTGGATTTAAACTTCTATGTATGTATCTGTAAGTGTGAGCAATTACTGTTTAAGCGCAGCTGATTGTTCATAGACAAGAAAGCGTGACACTAGAGTAGCACACAGCAGACATTTGATAAATATGTGGTGAATGAAAGAATGAATGTGTAGTGACCTAGTTACCCAGCTGGCGTAGAGTTCTGGGCCTTAGTTTCATAGCTTCTGGCATTTTTTTGCGTAGCTTACAAAGTTTCTAGATTATTAAATAGGGCTACATCTAAATCTAAGTAGCACCCTAAGAATGCTTAAATCTAAAATAATTTTGCCAACATTGCCAGAAGGGAACAGGAGTTATATAGCTAAGTGTACTGAATTCATTTTTTGTAGCATATGAAAAAATTGTAAATGTGGAATCATTGAAACTAAATGTTTGACAGTTTCCTAATGCTGCATATTAGGAAGTGAGTGTTGATTAGTTTCAGAGTAGAATTTATGTAAATATCTCATAAGGTATGGTAACTATTTTTATACATCTAAATACCAGATATGTCTCTTCCCATAGGATGAAGCTCTGAAGGAAAGCATACTATTTCAGACTGTTCCAGGAAGGAAGAAAACTACAGCTCTGTGTCAGTCAGGTTTGTTTTGTTTTGTTTTGCTTTTTCTTGGTGGGGCGGGGGAGCGCTGTAACAAATATTTGAAATAATCATCTTATAAAGACAAAAGATTTATTTAGCTTGCAAATTTAAAGGTTCCAGTCCTTGATTGGTTGGCCCTCTTGGCTTTGAGCAAGGCAGCACATCATGGAGGAACATATCTTGAAGCAGAAGCAAAACAGATAAAGGAGTCCATGGGTCCCATGGACGTCCATTTCTTAAAGGTTTCACAGCTTCCCAGTGGCACACTTGGGACCAAGCCTTTAAAACAAAGCACTGGGGAGACATTTAAGATCCAAACTATAGCAGGCTGGGCTCATCCCAACATTTTCCTGTTTTCAGTTTTTATTTTTTTAAAAAGGATTGTCAGCTGTTGACTGGTCCTTTTTGTGGAAGAAGAGCATCAGAATCCTTTTGCCACATTCTTTTTCCTTGAGTCCTCAAGGCCAAAACTATTTTCACAGTGCCTTTCTCTCACCCATTCTCTTGTAAGTGTTCAGTAGAGTTTTCCAGAATTTGCATATGCTCTCATGACAGATTGAAAAACAGAAACAGATGTAAGATTCCAAATGTACAAGTGTTTGAATTATGTCTAGATGCCCCCCTAAAGCCTCATGTGATCATAGGCAGGACCCTGGCAAGGTGATTGACTGGGTTAAGGGCATTATAGCTGACTAGGAGGTGGGGTCTTACGGGAAGAGGCTGCTCAGAGAAGGCTGACTTGGTAGGGTTTCTCTCTCCCACAGGCTCCTCCCGTCAGTCTCTGCTTCCTGTCTGCATGCCAGGAGCAGATTTCCTCAGGCATGCCCCCTGCCATGCTGACCTGCCCTGGAGTCAGCTGACTGTGGACTGAAGAATTAGCCAAGATAAACTTCTCCTTCCTTAAGTTGTGGGTGTTGGGTATTTCGTCCTAGCAACCGGAAAAGTGACTAAGACAACAAAACTATAAGGTAATGCCTCTTTTCTCACTATATTTTTTTTATTTGGGGGCCAGGAAACTTTCATAACAATGACACCTAATGAGTTTGTTGTTTTGCTACTAAATGAATATCTAAATGTTTAAGCTACTAGTATGATACATATGGACAGCTACAAACAAGATATTCGGGATCTCCAGTGATGTTTTTAACCAAGCTTTTTATTTTAAGATAATTATAGATGCACATACTACACAGGTACAAGAAGAGACAGCACAGAATTAGCACAGTAGCACAACAAGGACATTGACCTTAATGCAGTGGAGATGTAGAACATTTCCATTACCACAAGGACCCCTCAAATTACCCTTTATCCCCCCTTAACCTTAGGCAACCACTCCTCTATCATCTACTTCTATTATATTGTCATTTCAAAAAATTTATAGAGCTAGAGTAATATAGTGCGTAACCTTTTTCAGTCTGTTTTTGCTGGAGATCCACCAGGTCACTGTGTGCATCAACACCCCTTCCTTTTTGCTGCTAAATAGTATTCCACGGTATGGGTAGATCACAGTTTGTTTAACCTTTTCCTGTTAGGTGGGTTGCTCTTAGTTTCTGGCTGTTACAAATGAAGTTGCAATATACATTCATGTACAGGTTTTATGCCAGCATGAGTCTTAACTTCCCTGGAATAAATGTCCAGGAGCGCAGTTGCTGGATTCCATTTGCATGTTTTTTAAGAAAAACATGTCCAGAGTGGATAAAGAGATCCTGAGGTCAGACAGTCACTGCTTTATACTAAGGTAGCTATCAAATCTGGTTTGTGACCTAAACAATGGGAAATTTTTTTTGAGTTGATGATCAAATAAGGACATTTTTTCCAGGCTCCTGAAATCAGAAGGGTGTAATGCCTTATTCTGTTTGTACGTTACAGGGCATGGTCCAGTTTGTTGATTGCCCTGCAGTGCCACAAATAAATGCAGCTTTCTTCTACACGTTTATTAGTAACTTATACATTTCAGGCTCACTTATGAGCCTGAGAACAAGTTTTTTTAGACGTGCATAGTATGGGGCTGGGGATTTAGCTCAGCGGCAAAGCGCCTGCCTGGCAAGCGCAAGGTCGTGAGTTCGGTTCCCGGTACCGGAGAAAAACCAAAACCAAAAAAAAGAAGTGCATAGTATGTTCAAGAAATGAGAATACAGATGACAGAAAGGCAGTATGCTTCTCTTCAAAGAGAAGAGGGAACAGATAAACATACAGTGTAGAATTTGCTAAAATGGAGGTGGTATGCAAACATCCCCTCAGCGTGAGGAGCGGGAGCTGTGCCAAGCTTCAGAGGATGGAAGGAGTGAAGAGGAGTTTGCCAGGGTGGAAAGGAGAGGGAATTCTTAGATGCTGGCATTGATGAGTCAAAGGAACCACAGATGGTCCCCAGCTAGCCATACTTGGATGGTGTTTCTTAGCTCATCGTCTTTTTCCCTGAATCCCTTAGGCTAGGAACCGTGAAAACTCTAAGTCTGAGTCAGAAGCAACATCAAGAGAAATTTTCGGAATAATACGTAGTTTTGAAGTATGCACATGATGGGCAAAGAACTACAGGTCTTTCTGAAATCTTTGTAATGTACTAGGATATAGTTGTCCCATAAACCAGGAAGAACAGGTGCTGTGATCATAACGGGAGTTAAGTAGTAAACCGTGTCTTAAAAGTCCCATTCTTTAGCACTGGCTGTTTTTCAGTATATTATTGCAAAGACCTTATAATAATCGTAGCCAATATAATAGTTTCTTTCTCTTTACTGTTCCTGGACTATTGTTAAATAGATATGTAGCTTGTAAAAATATACATTATGCTACATTTTATCTCTGTATTTTGGGAAATGTTTGAGACTTATTTACTTGTATTTTAGTATGTTAAACTGTGCTCACAGACATTAAAAGTAATATCTAAAAATTACATACATTAAAAGTAATATCTCAAAATTACATACATTAAAAGTAATATCTCAAAATTACATACAAACCTGGGCATATTCTCTTCTCTACAGTCAATTTATTGTTTTGTTATTTTAGGGTTTTTTTGTTTTATTTTGTTTTGTTTTGGTTTTTTTTTTTTTTTTTTTTTTTTTGTTTTGTTTTTTTGAGACAGGGTCTCGCTATGCAGTTCAGGCCGGCCTTGAGCTCACTTTGTATGTAACCCAGGTTGGTCTCAAACTTGAAATGATCCTCCTGCCTCAGCCTCCTGAGTGCTAGGATTACAGGCGTGCACCACCACACCTAGCTGTTTTGTTACTTTTAAAGCAAAAAAGTACTGGATTTTTCTTTTTCCTTACTAGTTGTATGTTGTTTGGCTTTAGGTAAATCATAAAATCTATCTGAACTTTGTTTCCTTCCGTTTATTTTTTGTTTTGTTTTTATTTTTTATTAGTACATGTTTGGAATACGGAATGATCACATTCCTGAGGGAGACTTGGATCTTAATTCTTTTTTTAATCCCCTTTCCTCCTGCTGCATCTCTCCTGTTTATTCTTTATATTGACCCTTTGAGACAGCCACTGTTATTATCCCATTTTCCATCTGAGATGGAAACCGACACAAAGGAGTTTAGTAACAAGGCTAGTAAGCAGCCGTGCTAGGAGTTGGCCCTTCAGGTTAGGCTCTATTAACTGTTGTTAACTTTTCATTTAATGTTTGCTTCATGGCAGCCTAGAGGTATTTCAGGGAGGGAAATAATGCAGTTTTAGTTGGTATTTTAAATGGGAATGTGTTAATTTTCCTCATGAAACAATTTTGTGATAAAATGAAAAAGAACCAATGTTACTTAGAGTTTAGACTATAGCTAAAATTTAGTAGTCTTAAAATAACTGCTTTCTTAGTCATTATGTAGGAGGCTGGAAGTGCAGTGTATTTACTTAAGGAAAAGAAAAATTAGAGTAAGTACAAAACAGAGCAAGGATATGTGAATTTTCTTGCCAGGTGACTGGGAAACAAGAGTCAGTGGTCTCTGCATCAAAATACCTAGTTTAAAGAAATCTGTCTGCCGGGATACATGACTTCTTCACTCTCCTTAGTCTCACATACCTTGCACTAACATTTTAAAAGGTTATGTTCAAGTGAAGAACAATCCCCTTAATTTCCCAAATACGAGAAGTATTTCTTCTGCTGATGTTGTTACTGATAGGAGTTTAGATCACAGGTGCTGTTGCTATTTTGCTGTAGGTAGTTCTATTTAAAAACTCAATGTATCTAGGGTTAGGTCAAGCTGTCCTACCTGCATGCTCTCCCAGCCTCCCAAATTCACAATCAGTCTTATTAAATCTGTTAAGATGTTAATGTTGTTTTAAAAAATAAATACTTTAAATAAAGGAGAAAATACAGAGATGGGATTGGAGGAAAATGTTATTGTTGAAATCCAAATACTAGTAGCGTCACATGGTGTCCTGCTTTTCCTTTCTGGGCCAGGACCTGAGTTTCAGAGTTCCTCTGCCCCTAGTGTGCATTCTTTGTCCGAGATGCGTTAGCTGCTTCATGATTCCTGAAAGTGCCCTAGGACTTCTGAAGGAGTAGCTGATGCTCTTCTCTTGCCTGAGAGGTCCTGCTCCATTTGTTCCTGCATTGCTAATGCTTTCTGTCACAACTCAGCAGTCTGTTTTCCCCCTTTTGAAAATATTTCTGGCCACAAAGCCAAAGGTAGCTAAATGCCAGTTCTGCCAACTTTCCCATAGCCACATCAACCCTGTGAATAACTTTCTCAGCTTCCTTATTACATGGAGTTTTAGCAGCAGGTTTCTTAACTCTCCTCTCCCATCATATCCTGGCAGCTCTGTAAACATTTACAGAAGGGATAAAGAGCTGCTGCCTTTGCAATTGAGTTTTTTTACCCCTCAGTGCTTCAGCCTTGGGAAGGGTAGAAGCCCCTATGTGAGGGGCACATTTCCTGGAAGGCTTACACTAAATGGGAGAAGAATGTGAAGAGTCTTGTGTTGGTGAGGACACACACACACACAGAGCCTGTGTAAGCAAGACCAAATGAAAGTAGGGACATACAGTATGTTGAAATCTTACTCTTTCCCCATTCTGTACAGCAGAGGTCATTTTTATTAAACTCTGAGTTACCTTTGAGGCTACATTTTAAAGACACTGTCTTTGGTATAGTATTACAAATGCATAAGATCACTCAGCAGCACAGCCATAACTGGGATGACAAATGCAAATGTTACGTAATATTCCATAAATGGCACTATTTGTATACTGCAGAAGTTAATTGTCTGTAAAACTACTTTGGACAGTGAAGCATTTCAGTAAGAGATTTCACTTAGTAAGACAGATTATTTGTTTTTTATGTTATGTCTTTTCCTTTAAGCACACGTTCTTTTCTCACTGGGATCTTGACAGTGTAAACCATTCCTAGACCTATCTAGCAAATTAGTTTTTCTTTGTTGATGATTAATTTGTCTGACCTAAATTTTAATTTTTTTACCTAAAAAATTAACTAGCAGTAATATGTGGACACTTTAACTTGTCTTGATAGATACTAATTTTGTTTGTTTGTGTTTATCTAGAAAAAGAGACCTTGGCTGTAGTCAGATACATTCTGTCCATTAAAGGAAAGCAAACCTCTAACGTATGAGGATACAGAATGGGAACGACAAGTGATGAGATGGTGTCTGTGGAACAGACCTCCTCTTCGTCTTCCCTAAACCCCCTGTGCTTTGAATGTGGCCAGCAGCACTGGACCAGAGAAAACCACTTGTACAATTACCAGGATGAGGTGGATGATGACCTCGTCTGCCACATTTGCCTTCAGCCCCTATTGCAGCCCCTGGACACGCCCTGTGGACACACATTCTGCTACAAGTGCCTCCGAAACTTTTTACAAGAGAAAGATTTTTGTCCCTTGGACCGGAAAAGACTTCACTTCAAGTTGTGTAAGAAGTCCAGCATTCTAGTTCATAAACTCCTAGACAAATTACTAGTTTTATGTCCATTTTCTTCAGTGTGCCAAGATGTGATGCAGCGCTGTGATTTGGAGGCGCATCTTAAGAACAGGTAAGAAATACAGAAAAAAGAGTAACTAGATTTTATAAAAAGGTTCCTCAAATGAACAAATACTTAATTAAAAATACATCAAAGCACCAGTAAATAAACAGACAATTTGAATACAAAGGAGATGCAATAAACAAGTTACGTGGAACAGTATTTAATATGATTTATCGCAACTATAGTGATAAAGTACCATTTATTGGTTGGTTGTGGTCAGTTATAGTACAGGAGATGAAACCCAGGGCCTTTCCACTGAGCTACATCCTAAGCCCTCTTTATTTTTTGTCCAGATCTCACTAAGTTGCCCAGGTGGGACTCCCAATTTGCAAATCTCCTGTCTCTGCCTCCCAACGGCTGGAAATACAGGCCTGCACCTGGCCAAGGAAATACTGTTTTATACCCATTAATAGTTTTTGGGTCTATAATATGAAACAATTCAATAGGTGACAGAGTGTAATAGTAGACTTTTTAAAAGGCAACTTAGCGATTTTAAAACTATACAAGTAGATACCGTTTTGTCTAGTTACTAGCCAAAGGCAGTGGTGGTGAATCTGTGGCACACGTGGTACAGCAGGCTGTTTGTTGTCTCTGAAAGCTCTAAGAGGTTTGCCTTCACTGTCCTAAGGAAATAACCCAAAAGATGGAAAAACTGTATGTGAAGATGCTCACTGCAACATTCTACATAGTGTGAAAATTGGTATTGAAATAAGTACTTAAAAATAGGGAAATTTAAAAATATGGTGCATTAACTCAATGGGATAATATGCAGCCAATAAGAGTAATTTTGTTGGAAAACTAAACATGGAAATAAGTTGCATGATTTAATTTGCTAAGATTTTGTACAGTTAGGCTAGACTGAACAAGAAGTAGGCACTGTAACATTTAGTGAACATTTTCGTTCTAATAAGAGCTCTTGAAAAGGTTAAGTAATTCAGCTCACTGGTAAATTTTATAATTTGATTTTAGTAAAAGACTTGATCTTTAAAATTATGTAAACTCTTAAGAAGAGTTATGATATTTCTCAGTCTAGGATTACCCAAAATGGTAGAAATAAATGTATTGAACTGTATTGATTTTTAACTTCAGATAGCCCACTTGTGCAATATAAACCTGTGCTAATCTTGATTGCTATGAAAACAATGTGTGGGTATCATACTACATTTAGATAGAAAAATGTAAGTCTGGTATGGAGTGACGTTCTTACTCACAAAAGGTTACAGACTTGAAGGAGATTATTATCTCATCTAACCCCTTACCTTATCGTGAGGAAACTGAGTCACAAAGATTGAGAGCTGATGTGATGCTATACTTAGACTTAACTTTTAGTATTCTTACTTACATTCTAATACATCGTGCTGAATCTGCTAGCGGTCAAATCATGTACTCTGCTGCAGCCTGTAGTAGTCAGCTTCATAACACGTGAATACACACGTTCATTTTGTTTCTAGGTAGGGATAAAGACATTTCATAATACTCATTAGAAATAACTCAGATGTAGGAGAGAGGAAAAAAATGAGGTATTAAACTGTTAGAAACATAGGCTTGCAGAGAAACTGCTTAAATCTAAACTACGTTGTTGTCTAAAAGTTGGGGTTAAGAAAGAGTAGGGAAGGTAGATACTTGAAAATGCACGTAACGTAGATCTATATTTTGGGTATCTTCTATCACAAGCAGGCTTAGAATCTGAGCATGATGCAGAGACTTTCTGGAAAGTGGCAACAGAATTTGGAATATGCTCAACTCAATGAGGTGTAGTTATGAGTGAAAAATAATATAGGCTTCTTATTTCTCTCAGTAGAACTTATCTTTTAGAGTATAAAATTCTCTTGTTATCCTTTTATGAATTACCAGTTATGGGGTTTAGAAGAAACAAAGTCTAAATTCAGCACTTACTATTGTGAGACCAATGAGATAAATATTTCACACACTTTTAGTAATACTTATTTAATTAACATGCACAGGAGAATTTAATGTGCAGTTGAAAGACAGTACTAGTATTTTCTGCCAAGCCATTTATCATGGCATTGTAAAGATTGGGCATTTCAAACTCATTTCATTTACAGGCTGGTGAAGGCTAAGCAGTTATATCCTTTGAAAGTTGTTTTTCCAGGTGTGCTTGTTAAAATTTGGATTACTAGTAATTTCCAAAGCATCATAGGCCTATAATGCGAAAGTTACAATGAAAAGGCAGATGATTGGGAAAGGTGGTTAATTGTCTGATATAAACATCTGTATACATATACAAAACATTCAATTGTAGTATGATTTTTATGTCCTCCCTCAATATATATGATAGCAGTCTTACCTTTCCCTCATTTCAATTAAAATATTGAAATTCAAGTGGAAGTATTTATACCCAACACTCAACCCTAATTAACACAATTCTTTGTACATTTGTCCAACAGATACTTATTATCTACTGTGTGCAGCACACTGTTCTACCTGCTAAATAATCTTGGCAGGCTGGTAGCAAATTCAAATTCACTGCCAGGTTATAAGTCCCTTAAGGCCAGGCCCAGGTCCTTACCACTTTGTGGATTCACTTGCCCAAAGTTGACATTCATCTAATACTTGCCAAGTCAGTTGTTAACGTATATTTTGGTTACCCATTGCTAAGAAATTAGCCACTTTAGACAGTTACATAAAACAAGCATTTGATTCTGCTCATGGATTCTGTGAGTCAGAAGTTCAGACAGTACACAGGGGGGATGGCCTGTCTCTGCATTGCCAGGAGTTGCTGACAGGTAGAGACCCCAGCAGTTGGAACTAGAGTGTCTCCTTCCCAGATGGCTTATTCATGCACATGTCTAGCTTCTTTGTGGGGTGACTGGAAGTACAGGCTCAACCAGGATTTGTCAAAGAACCATACAGGTGGCCCTTCCAGCATGGTGGCCTCAGGGTATTTAAAGTTCTTACATGATGACTCACTGTTCAGGCGAACAAGAAAGAAGCTGCATGGCATGGTGTGATGTAACCTTGCAGTCACTTGGCATCTCTTCTGTTGTAACTACTCTGTTGGCAACACTTGTAGACGGAGCTGGGGATTTAGCTCAGTGGCACAGTGCTTGCCGGGCAAGCGCGAGGTCGCGAGGTCGATATCCGGTACCAGGAAAAAACCAAAAAAACCAAAACCAAACTGGAAACAGTTGTAGACCCACCTAGACCCAAGAAATTTCAACTTCTCCTTGTGATAAGAGTCACATACCCAACCAGCACCAACTAGTAGAATGATACTGTGAGGGGCAGAATAGAGCTGTGATTGTGGCATCTCTGTCCATGATCTTACTTGTTAGAAACTGCCAAGTTTCAGCTGTACATTACACTGAAATTTACAGAATCTGAGCACCAGCAACAACGAGTCATTGTACACAAGGCTATCACATGCCTTTGTCTTTGAATTTTTAGAGACTGGCAGTCTCCTAGGTATTGGTAGCCTGGTGTGGTGGTGCGCCCCTGTAATCCCTGCACTCGGGAGGCTGGGGCAGGAGGGTCGTTGGGAGTTTGGGGCCAGCCTGGGCTCCAAAGTGAGCTCAAGGCCAGCCTGAACTGCATAACAAGACCCTGTCTCAAAAAGACAAAAAAATAAAATTTTTTTTAAAAAGGTATTGGTAGAAATGGCATATTAACGTTAATTTACATAAATGTGATTTCAAGTGTGAGGTTGCCTTCCCAACTTGAATGACTTTTTTTTTCCTCTCTCCAGTACTGGAGTTTGAGTCCAGGGTCTTTGCAATGAGCTGCATCCCCAGCCCTTTTCTATTTTTATTTTGTAGTTTTGAAACAGGGTAACTTGTGATTCTCTCACCTCAGCCTCCGAGGCTGCTGGGGTGACAGGCATGTGCCACCACATCCAGCCTGAGTGACATTCTTCTAAAAATTTTGTTTGAGTTTGAGAAGAGCTGACATTTTCCTCCTATAGATAAAAGTAAAATATTTATGAAAGATGAATGTATTTTTCAGTAAAATTACTGCTAATAACTCACTATGCACTAGTAAGACACTAAAGAATTTTTAAAAAGCATAAGCAATATCCAGTTTTGAATGGAGAAACGAAGCCTTTGAAATATTCCGTATGTTGTACTTCTTGTGATGTTTTAATCATTATTTTGTGCAGTTCTGCCAGTCAACGTCAGTCACAGAAAATTCCTCCCACTTTCCTCTACCTCTCATCCCCAAACCACAGTTTATGGTAATTATAAATGTTAATTTTTGTTGTTGTTTATTTGTGCATTTGTGTTGTGCGTTATGGCAGGGTTTAGAATTTTTGAGAAAAACAACCATTGATGAACTAAAAAAAGGTCTCAACATGTAAAGACTTTTCACTAAAGATTTTCTATTATACTTTCCATTAGCTATTTTTTCATTTTCTATGTCCTTTGAAGGAAAAATAACTTTAATTTTTATGCAATCCAATTTATTTTCTCTTGGCTTGTGCTGTTATCTAAGAAACCATTGGCTAATTGAAGGTCATAAAGATTTACGCCTATATTTTCTTCTAAGAGTTTTATGATTTTACTTCCTACATTTAGGACATTGATGCATTTTGAGTTAACTATTATGGGAGAACATAATATGTATTAGTCAGTCCTTTAAATTTTATTGAGGTTTGTTTTTTTAAAAAATGGCTTACTACATGATTTATCCTGGCAAATGTTCCTTGTGTTCTTGAGATGAACATGTATTCTGCTATTCATGGGTGGAATGTTCTGTGGATGTCTGTTAGAGTTGCTCGTTTTATAGTGTTGTTAAAGTCTTTTTATTGTCTTTTTCGTATGTCTAGTTGTTCTACCCATTATTGAAAATGGAGTGTTGAAGCCTGCACTATTGTCGAATGGACTGTTTCTCACTTTAATGTCAGTGTATGTCAAGGCTCTGTTGATATGTTTGTGTTTATAACTATTAAATCTTCTTGATGGGTCGAGCTTTTCTTTTATCATTATAAAATGTTCTTTGTCACTAGAAAGAATTTTTGTCCTAAAATCTGTTTTCTTTGAGACTAGTATGCT